GACAAGTTGGTCCAAAAATGGAAAGAACAAGGTGGTAGACAAAGCTGAATCTTCAAAAGGAGGAGGCTGTGGCAGAAGTCAGAACAAGAAGAGGGATTTTGACAAAAGCAAGGTGCAGTGCTTCAACTGTGAGAAGCATGGACACTTTGCTGATGAGTGTTGGTTCAAGAAAAATCAAAAGGATGATGAAGCAAATCTGGCTCATGAAGATGATCCAAGCATAGTGTTGATGATGGCTACTACAAATGATGAAAAGACCAAAAATGAAGAGTGGTTTCTGGATTCAGGATGTTCAAACCACATGACATCACATAGAGACTGGTTAACAGGTTTTGATGCTAACAAGAAAACAAGCATCAAACTTGCTGATAATCGAAAGCTTGTAGCTGAAGGAAGTGGAAATATAATGATTAGAAGCAATGATGGCAAGAGAATCATTATTGAAGATGTGATGTATGTTCCTGAAATGAAGTGTAACCTCATGAGCATGGGTCAACTAGTGGAGAAGGGATTCTCAGTAACCATGGATGGCAACTCTCTGAAGCTGTTTGATTCAAGGAAGAACTTGGTACTCAAATCAAACATGTCAAAGAATAGAACATACAGGTGCAACATCTCAAGTGAAAAGATGATGTGTATGTCAGCTGCAGTAAGTGAAAATGCTGAAGAATTATGGCACAAAAGGTATGGTCATTTAAACTTTAGAAGTCTTAGTGAATTAAACTCTAAAGAACTGGTATATGGCCTGCCTAAACTGAAAGTCAGAAGAACCATCTGCGAAGTGTGTGTAAAAATTAAGCAAAGTATATTCCCATTTGCCCCTGAAGCACCTAAGAGAGCTAATGTGACACTTCAAGTAGTCCACTCAGATATCTGTGGTCCATTTGAAGTGCCTTCATTAGGGGGAAGCAAATACTTCATCACTTTTGTTGATGAGTATACAAGGATGATATGGCTGTATACAATCAAGCTTAAGAGTGAGGCTTTAGAAGTATTCAGAAAATTCAAAGTCTTAATAGAAAAGGAAAGTGACAAATCTATTAAGATCTTGAGGACTGATGGGGGAGGAGAATACACCTCAAAAGAGTTTGAAGCTTTCTGTGCCAATCAAGGAATTATGCATGAAGTAACAGCACCATATACACCTCAGCATAATGGATTGGCTGAAAGGAGGAATAGAACTTTACTGAACATGGCAAGGAGCATGATCAAACAGAAGAATCTACCACACAAGTTTTGGGGGGAAGCAGTTACTACAGCTGCTTACATTCTAAATAAGTGTCCTACAAAGAAGCTGAAGTCAAAAGTACCAGAGGAAGCTTTGTGTGGAAGAAAACCCAGTGTGAAACACTTCAAGATTTTTGGCTCTTTGTGCTATAAGCACATACCAGATGCTAGAAGAAGCAAACTTGAAGATAAAAGTGAGATTATGATACTTATAGGATATCATCCCACAGGTGCCTATAAGCTCTATAATCCTTTAACTCAAAAGGTACATGTCAGTAGGGATGTGATAGTGAATGAAGCTGAAAAATGGAAATGGGAAGAGGAACCAACATACAGTGAAGAAAACCAACAAAATTGCATCTATCCTGACTCAAGTGATGAGTCAGAGAATGAAGAAGTGAACAACAGTGATGCAGGTGATTCAGAAAATGAAGAAGTGGAACTAAATAATGCAGATGAACAAGTAGAAGCAGAAGAAGCTATGAGGCCTGCAAGAACTAGACAAGCTCCAAAGAGGTTAAATGACTGTGAAGTGATTTCAGATAATGCAGTAAACGATGAGGGTGATATTATCCATTTTGCGTTGCTGGCAGATTCTGAGCCTATCAATTATAAAGAAGCATTAAAGATAGATGTTTGGAAGAAAGCCATGGTGGATGAGCTCAATTCAATTGAGAAGAATCATACTTGGGAGTTAGTTCACTTGCCAGATAAGAAAAGGAAGATAGATGTAAAGTGGGTGTTTAAGCTGAAATTAAAACCTGATGGAAAAGTGTCAAAGCACAAGGCTAGATTGGTGGCTAGAGGCTTCTTGCAAAAACATGGTATAGATTACAATGAGGTTTTTGCCCCTGTTGCAAGGCTTGAAACTGTGAGATTAGTAGTAGATATATCCTGTAAGAGAAGATGGTTACTTCATCACCTAGATGTCAAGTCAGCCTTCTTAAATGGTCCACTTGAAGAGGTTGTATTTGTGTCACAGCCTCCTGGGTTTGAAATACAAGGCAAAGAGAACATGGTGTATAGGCTCCATAAAGCCTTGTATGGCTTGAAGCAAGCCCCTCGAGCCTGGAACAAAAGAATTGACCAGTTCCTGATTCAAATAGGCTTTAAAAAATGCACAGTGGAGTTTGGTGTATATGTGCAAAATGCAAACGAAGAGGATAGCATGATAATTTGCCTATATGTGGATGACCTGCTAATTACTGGAAGCAAAATAGAAGATATTGAGAAAGTGAAAGACAAGTTGAAGTCTGAATTTGAAATGACTGACCTAGGTGAACTCTCATTCTTCCTAGGTATGGAATTTATGAAGACAAAGGCTGGAATACTGATGCACCAACAGAAGTACATAGGTGAGTTACTTGAGAAATTTGAAATGAGTAACTGCAACTCAATCTCAAATCCATCAGAGACAAATTCAAAATTGGATGAGTGCAGTAATGAAGAAAGAGTGGATCAAACAATGTTTAGACAAATAGTTGGTTCACTAAGATACTTGTGCAATAGCAGACCTGATATATGCTACTCAGTCAGTGTGATTAGCAAATTCATGCAGGACCCAAGAAAGACTCATCTGATAGCTGCTAAAAGGATACTCAGGTACATAAAAGGCACAAAGGATTTTGGTTTGATATTTCCAAATAGAAGCAAAGGTGGAAGGAATGAATTGATTGGGTATTCGGATAGTGACTGGTGTGGAGATATCATAGATAGAAGGAGCACTTCTGGCTATGTCTTCAAGTTCAATGAGGCAAGCATATCATGGTGTACCAAGAAACAACAGGTGACTGCACTTTCATCCTGTGAGGCAGAATATATTGCAGGGACATTTGCAACTTGCCAAGCAATGTGGCTGAACTCAGTAATGAAGGAGCTGAGGTGTGAAGTGATGAAACCTCTCATGCTCAGAATTGACAACAAGTCAGCTATCAGTCTTACAAAGAATCCGATCTCACATGGCAGGAGTAAACACATTGATACAAGATTCCATTTCATTAGAGAACAAGTAAGCAATGGAATGATAGAAGTGCAGTACTGTCCAACTGAAGTACAGCTAGCAGATGGCTTCACAAAGGCTCTAAAGCTTGACAGATTTGAGTTTTTGAGAAACAAACTTGGAGTTGTGAGTGCCAAACAGTTATGAATTAAGGGGAAGTGTTGAGTTCTAATTCAAAACTGTAGTTTGTTTAGTTAAAAGAAAAAAAATACTATTGGAAGTTATCCTAGCTGTGCTGGATATTCTGCAGAATCTAATTTGTGACCAATATGTGTCACTTATAAATAGCCAAAGCAATGTAAATAAATATATAGTGTTGTTCATCTTGAACTAATATACAAGTTTCTCTTTAGTCTATTCTCTCTCAAAATCTTTAATATACTGCTGCGCATAATTGTGTTCTAACACTGCAACGGGAGATCCGCGACGTTTCCTTCCTTGATATCCTTCTTTGTCTCCTTCTACATCTTTCCATGCTTGCATGTTTACTTCAACATTAGGAGTTAATGAAGAAGCATCTCCTCGGTTCTCTGCTATTACAACTACTTTCCCATTTGCATCTCCTTCAACTCTTGCAACACCTTTGGCATCCTTAAAATGTTCTTCATTTCCAGAAACTATATGATCCTCAAAGTCGCATATGATCCTACTCGATTCCTTGAAGTCCAAGAATGCTTGGTCCAACTTCATTCTTCTCCAGGCCTTTTCGTTCTCCACTTGAGTAATGAATCTGTGTAAACAAGAAATTTACAATATGACAGTTATATTATTTTTCATCGCTTATAGATTTCAACTGCAACTGTAACGAAAACATGATTCTCATCAACCTGCCAACTCCAGTGGAAAAGAATACCCTCTGGTTGACATATTTGAGAAAATGGAAAATGGGTTTAACACAACTATTACTTTCTAACAATACACTTTTTCTTTTTCTATTCAGCTTATCTTTTCTCTTCACAACTCTACCCTATTTAACATAACACCTACTTGATAATAGTCTTTGGGAATTGTATATACTAATTACAAATTGTTTTGCCCTTTTTAATTCACTTTTCATCCTTATTTTTCTAACACTCATTAATTACTTTTAGCTTTTTCTTTATTATAAAAATAAATATAATATCATTATTCAATTTCATTTTTATATTACTTCTATTTATTACAATGTCACTACTCATATGCACTTGTACCATTACACTAACAATTTCTAAAATCATGCATTTTTCTATACATGACTATAAAGTCACTTAAACTAACCTATATGGAAGTAATTAAAATCACATAACATTTTTTTAATATTATTTATATTTTTCATTTTCAGTACACTTCTATAATATATACATGTAAGATTTGAATACAAGATTTTGAAAAATATCTCCATTACATTCCATTTCTTCTTTTCACTCTAATTTACAACTCTGGCATCATTAGGTTCACTACCACAGCCACTATAACTATCATTCATATATAAATCAAACTGAACCACCATTTAAAATACTTTGGCATTATGGTTTTACAACACCATTACCAAAATGACAAACATAATAATATCACAAACTTAATATTCTTACTACATTAAAAAGCAGTTCCTCATGTTCATACTACTATCTATTACACAACATAAGCTCAAATCCTTGCCACATCACCATGTCTAATTATCTAATATTACAGACCATCATTAATTCAAATTCAATAACAACCGGGAACTACAACATTCAAAAAACAACAGATTGTATTATCCATAAAACCAACATTAACCATCACAAGAGCGACTTCACACCCCCATCCTCATTAAATCAGATCGGTTATCCACACAGACTAACAATCTGGTGGCAGGAGGATATCTAAGGAAAAAATTCAATTTGTCGTCACTCTTGAGCCTTCTGTCTGCATCAAATTCGTACCTTCCTTGAGCAAGAAATTTCTCCAACTTTCCTTCCCTTTCTTTGAGCTCGCAGTGATAAGATTTTCTTGTGTCCATATCATACAGCTCTAAGTTGCTTTGTGGTTGGGAAAGACACATCCTTATGACTTTCCTCGAAAATTGCTGCACATTAAGGAAAACTATATCAAATACTAGATGATTGAACTCTTACTTATCATCCTATTTCTATACTATGCATCTTATTTCTTAACATCCTACAAATTATAAATCATAATGTTATTTTTATACTGAACATATTACCAGAACATTTATCCTCATAGCCTTCCTCCATTTGACGACATGCTCCCACATAGACTCTTTAGATTTAAAATCAGATGCTTCAACAGCCTCATATGCGTGTACTTATATATGTATGACTAACACAATACAAATAATATTTGCAACTTTAGATTAAAGGAAATAATGGAAAGTTTATATGTTAAGAATATCAGCACCACACAAATTGTAAGTTCTTTTGCATGCATCATCAAAAAATAGGTTTTACCTTTAGCTATCAGTTGAAAGTGATATCACAAGAGAAACTGATACGGCTGCCATTTTGCCTTTATCTACTCCTGAAGCAACGCTTATCTATTCTTTCCTACCTGCATGTTGCGTCTCAACATCAGTTGTTTTGCCCTCATAAACCTTTTCATGCCCTTTTGCTTCACATCTTTTAGGTTTTGCTACTTCCACTCTTCATTGACCTAACAGGCCCTCTTCCTCATAGGATTTTCTCTTACCCTTATTTAGCATCCGAGTCTCTTCCAACTCGAGTAGATCATCTATGATATGGAATTTCCTCCAACCATCCTCGCTTTGCTGCTTCTCCCAACATGATTTACGAATACAAAACAACATTCAAAATGATAGGCATGGCAACATGCAACATGGACAAAACGATTTCATCGAGGATGGGTGGATGGGTGTAATCACGCAACAACTATAATAACACGTGTTGGTCTACAAAAACAAAGCACGATCACTCACTATTTCTAACTATACAACAATGTGAAAATCCCTTTTCACAACTTCAACACACTTCTCTCTACACCTATTACAAGGTTAAGCCATATGATATTTGCATCAAGAAGTTACGAAATTTCTTATCTTTATCGGGTTACATCCGTCTCCTGAAACTCCTTCTCCAAAGATATCATGGATTTGGTTGTAGCCGAATATACTGCTACTTTCCCTACTCTTCTCTGGAAACGCTTAAATGTTAACACCAATACCGTATAAAACCCTTTACTCTTCCAATGTACGTGCTACCATTATTACCCAACAACTCTGACCCACTTTTATTACACACGTCTATAACCATCCACATACCACCAACATATTCAATGCATTTTATCTGCATTTACTTTTTGATTTTCTTTTTACTAATTAACTCTTTAACTTCTATTAACCCTAAATATAATTTGCAAATATCTTATACATACAACATTTTCACATGATTATTTTTTTCTTTCAATGAATATCTTTGTATTATCTAATGTTTGTGCCATTTTTATCCTTTTAATATTTGGCCCATAATTATGTTTGTTTTTTTCCCCTATTTCATAATTGGACATTCTAATTTTACCATATATCTATACAAATGTTATTTGGTCAATAACTATATACTCAATTCTTCAATTTTTTAAATATACCAAATATATTTTTTATAACACAAGACACTTTTAACACTTATATTTTCTCATACTAAATATACATCCTACTACATTTTTCTTATAACTTTTGGTTAACAAATATTTTTTCTAATACAAATTAAATACTATGTTAACTATAAATATGTATTTTAAAACTGCCCAAATTACATAATTGATACCCGTATGTTATGATTGTAAAATAGTGTCTTGAACAGGTAAATATTTTTATACAACAATATTTTTATCTTTTTAAAATGCCGTGTAACCTATCAATATTCGTGTCCACACGAATATCCTATTAGTAGTTACTATGTTTCAATCAACCGCGACTTAATGAAACAACCCCCAATCAAAAGCAGATTTGTAAGGAGATTAAAAAAAGGGTTTGGATGAGTTATTTTAAAGAGAAAATGTAATGTTTTAAAATAGCTTAAATGATTTCAACAAAATTTATTATTTATATAAACAATGAAGAATTGTTTAAATAATAAAAATAAAAGGGCGTTTGTTTCAAGAATTCATAAATTATTTTTAAGAATAAAATTATTAGAAAATAAAAACATGAAGACAGCTCTCAAGTAAGTAAAATACTCATTTTGATCTCTTAACTATACCCTTAGATTCATATTAGTTCATTAATTTTTTCTGTGTCATTTTGATCTCTTAAATTTTATAAAGTTTCATTTCAGTCTTTTTTGTCAAATTAGCGACGGAAAAACTTTAAAATCGGTCGCTAAATTCGTCGCTAATTGACAAAAAAGACTAAAATGAAACGTTTTGAAAGTTAAGGGATCAAAATGACACAAAAACAGTTAAGGTACCAATGTGAACCCAAGGGTATAGTTAAGGGAACAAAATAAATATTTTACCTTCTCAAGTACTTATCTTAAAATGTATTTGGCATAAAATTTGATGTTCTTAGGAAAACTAATTGAAAACTCGTGCATCTATACGAGTAAATTCATTCATATTTTAGATCATTCGATAAGGTTTGGTTGTTGGTGATATATAATTGTTATTATAAAATCATTAATAATTGAAAATGTTTAAAAATAAATATGTAAAAAATTACCAACATGATAAATCCAATATGCACTACGCCAAAAAGGGTTTTTAACAGCGCATATTAGACAGCGCTTTTATACAAAAGCGCTGCTATAAGTGAATTTAAAAAAAAATACAGAAAATGTATAAAATAATAAATAAAAACGCTGCTAAAAATGTGACCTTAGACAACACTTTTGAAAAGCGCTGCTAAAAGTGTTGTTTTAGAAAGCGTTTTTGGTAAAGGACCACTTTAGACAGCGCTTTCCAAAAGCGTTGTGTAAAGTCATATAAATTTAAAATAAATCTCAAAAGCGCTGCTAAAGGACCACATTAGCCAGTGCTTTTCAAAAGTGCTGCTAAAGGCCTATATTAGTCAGTGCTTTCTCAAAAGCGTTGTCTAAAGTCATATAATTAGAAATTAAAAATTAGAATCAGTATTGTTTCTCTTTTCACAGAACGATTAGAATCAATATTTTTTCTCTCACGCGAAACCCTTTTCAATGCTTTATCTCCACCGTTATCCGCCGTCTGTCGTCATCCACCGTCTCTCTCTGCAAAACGAGACTCTCTCTCCCCCGCTGACCGTCGTCCTCCACCGTCACTTTCAAGGTACTCTTCTCTCTTTCTCTCTGTGAAATCGTTGGGTACAAATAGAAATAGAGAGATTGTGGCAAAAACTCTTTATGACTATTTGAATCAATAATCTTTTATTATATTATTTTTCTATAAAAAGAGATTGTGGATTGTTTGGGTACAAATAGAAATAGAGAGTTCGGATTTTCGTTCATAAAAATTGTATATACTACTTGAGATGCCATGGATAATGACAAAGTTGTTGTCTTAGATGATTTTAAATTGCGGTTATACTGTGAATTTTAAATTGGGAAATAGAGTTAGATTGCACACTTCAACTTCATATACACATAGTCTATGTATTTCTGTTGTTGTCCTAGTTTACTTGGACTAAGCTATTTTTATTTGTTATTTATTCAAACTTGATAAAAACTCTATACAAATTTTTACAAGTATGGAACACTAATGTTTTTCTGCTATGTATAGTTAGTCGAAGACCATCACCGATTCGAAGAACATCATAGCAATATCATCCACTGTCGCCCACCAATAACCTCTCTTCTTTCTTTGGTAAGTCATGTTCAAATTCAACATTACTGATTCTTGTTGTTTGTAGGATTTCAAGTGTGCTTGTATGTGTTATTCTTTAGTTGTTACTCTGTAGTGTTATCGTTTATTATTATAATATTTCTGCGTAACCGAAATAACGCCTGTTCTATTCAGTGTTTCCGTTCCGTTCCAATATTTTGAACGATACTTAGTAGTAAAACAATGGATAAAAAATGGATGTTTGTCGATCGGTTGTCAAAAGAGTACGAGAATGGGGTATTGGAATTCATTAAGTTTCATGTTGAACACGCTAAAGATCCCAGTTGAATGAAGTGTCTTTGCTTGGGTTGTTGTTATGTGGGTCAGGTTGACGTAGATGGATTGAAATCGCATTCACTGATGCATGGAATTGATAGATGTTATACGTGTTGGATATTTAACGTTGAAAAAACTAACGACAATGTTGAACTGGGGGAGAAAAGTAGTACGGCCTATGCTTCAGACGTCAAGGACACGGATATATACGATTTTGATCAAGTCGAAGAGATTGCAGAAGCACTTGAAGAAGATCTCCAGGATTGTCCCAAAATGTTTGAGAGATTGGTAAGCGATGTAGAGAAACCGTTGTATAAAAGTTGCACTAAATTCACAAGACTGTCTGCGGTATTAAAGTTGTACAACTTAAAGGCGGACAATGGATGGCCAGATAAAAGTATCACAGAGTTATTAGCCCTTATGAGAGATATGCTTCCGGAGGATAATGTTCTTCCTAATTGAACATATGAGGCCAAAAAAATGTTGTGCTCTATTGGCATGAGCTATGATAAGATACATGCTTGTCCAAACGATTGTGTTTTGTTTCGAAACGAATATGCATCGTTAAATGAGTGTCCTAAATACGGTTTGTCTCAATATAAGAAAAAAATTGTCTACAACAAAAGTCTTATGGTATTTTCCTATAATTCTGAGATTTAGGCGCATGTTTCATAGTGAAACTGATGCAAGACATCTGACTTGGCATGCAGATGAAAGAATTATTGATGGAAAGTATCGACATCCGAAAGATTCACCATAGTGGTCGAAAATTGATAATGATTATCCTGATTTTGGAGAAGAAGCAAGAAACTTTCTCTTGGCTTTATCTACTGATGGAATGAACCCGCATGATCTTCAAAGTATCTCACATACCACACGGCATGTGATTCTTATAATTTATAACCTACCTCCATGGCTATGTATGAAGCATAAGTACATGATGTTATCTATGTTAATTTTTGGGCCTAAACAACCTGGGAATGACATAGACGTGTATACTTGGCACCTTTGATCGAAGATTTAAAGATTTTGTGGGAGAACGGGGTGGAGGTTTATGATGGATATAGGAAACAAAGTTTCAATTTGAGGGCGATGTTGTTTGGCACAATTAATGATTTTCCAGCATACAGAAATCTATCTGGGTATAACATTAAAGGTCAACGTGCGTGTCCT